TTTTTCTTTCATTTTTCTTCTTTTTGCTTCAATAATATATTCGGGATCACGAATAGGCATATGTCTCTTCTGCCTTGGATCAAGTAATTCTGGTAGTACGCACTGTTCATAAAATTGCACTAGTTTATTAACCATATTTTCTATCCAAAAGTCATCATTTCGTACAATTTTTTCCGTTTTTAATCCTAATGGTGTCCATAGTGCGAATATGCAATATTGTCGCTGCGTAATGTGTAATTGTCCTTGTATTTGATAATAATATACATGACTGCGATTCATCTTTTCATCTTTTTTATTCTTATATAAAGACCGCAGATTAGAAATATTTCCTGCTATCGCATCTTTTGGTGTTAACAACCGTGCAGCGAAAGGATATTTGATTTCGACAATTCCGTCCTCTTCTATTAATCCATCTGGAGAAGCGCCTAAAAATGGTATTTCGGAATCTATAAATAATCCGCAATGCTTAATATTAAGATTTAACATACTTTCGATGCTTTTACGTGCAATTTTTTTGTGCTTAATCCCATGTTTTACTGATTCCACATTGAGTTCTTGAGGATATATTATCGATTTCACTCTTGAGACGCAAGAAGTACTATTCCTCATTTTACATATATGTCCGAAATGGGAAGCGGTTATCATTTTTGTACGATAATATCACCATATTCCAGTTGCCGCTTGTTCTTTTATTTCTTCTTTTATTGCTATTCGTTTCATTTGCCAATCTCGCAATATATGCATATGTTCTACTTTTCTCAATTCTATTTCTGCTGGTGGAGCATACGGTTTTTCAGCCTGGGGACCATAATCTTTGTCTGTCGTTGTATATTTTACTTTCCGTATCACCGATCTTTTCTTTGTGCCATATGCGATTTGTGCATGTCTTTATTATTTTACTTTCCATATCACCGATCTTTTCTTTGTGCCATATGCGATTTGTGCATGTCTTTTTTTATTTTCAAACTCCACAGCTACTTTCCCTGGTTTCGTTTCAAGAATATTGCTTAGGCAACTTATTGGTTTACCAGTGTTAAATATGACAACAGCAGCATAACAACGTGTCTGGTATGATTCTTTTAAACCGAAATTAATTCTTTTTCCACCAATACATTTTGATATTACAGATTTAAAAGTTTCAACTCTATTGCTGTCTTTAGCCGTCTTTATTCTGCAATAAACTTTTTTAGCATTCCATGTTAAATATTTCAATGCATTTTGCAGTTTTTCATATAGTCCACATTTTTTCAATTGTGGAATATATATTTTGCAGTTTTTCATATAATCCACATTTTTTCAATTGTGGAATATAATTTTCTTTATTTTCTTTCTGCGATCCATCGCAGAAGTATCCAATTTTCGCACATTCATTATGCTCGCCAAAAACGTGACTTATGACATTAAGATCTAATTTTAAGGACAGAATTTTTTCCTGCATACTGGTCTGCTCTTCCAAACGATATTGTACAGCTTTCGTCACAGCTGTTCTAATTCTAAGTATACGACTGTCAATTACATGTCTTAATTTTCCTAAACGTCCTTTTGTTTTAGCTATGTCTTTAATTTTGGTTGCTAAATTGCGCAGTAAATGATTCCGACATTCAATCTTTTCTATAAATACGTCGGGGTACGGATTTGCCTGTTATTTTCCTATACACGCTGCTGTCTCCATCCGCTATAAATGTGGAATAAATTACTCCATGCTCTTTTACGCTTTTTTTAAATCCTTCTACGATCGTATCTGTTTCCATGCTTGTCGAACTACAGTCTCGACCCCAATTTTTATAACATTTATGAATAGCAGGTTCTTTATTTAGCTTCTCTGCTTTTATACATATCGAGCAATATTTATTTCTCACAGACATATGCAGTACTTTATCTGTTCTCGCACCACAAATTGTGCCTACACCAGATAAAGAATCATATCGTCCTGTTCTGTATGATCTTTTCATCCAGCTTCCGTCACCTGTTACAGCTATATGCGGTATTCCATTTATTACTTCATTGCGTTGTAATGCCAATTCACGTTCTTCATTGGCTGCAGCAGTCATGCTTTCTTCAGCAGCTTTTTCTAATCTTTCCGTAATGGTTTCATGTATATTTTCGTATGTCTTCTTTGCCATACATGGAATATTCATTGCAACTAAGCTTTCTTGTAATTGTGTATATCCTGTACCAGTTAAAATACAGCCAGCCACTGCTCCTGTATTTATGTCTAAACTTTCATTCGGAGGCCGTTCACTCCACACTTTCTTTTATATGGCACATTTGACATTGAAAGAAAAATTTATTTTTTAAACCATATTCACGAGCACTGATGAATACTAAATTCCGAAAATTACAGTCCAACGCACTGTGCTTGTCGAATTTTTCATGTAATTGTTCAAGGACATATACACGAAATCTACTATACATTTTCCGGGCATACTATCTATCAGTATACGAAATGCATCGATATTGTTATCTGTAATAAAATCTTCAGACTCGCTATCATTTTGTAGTATCTTTTGCAATTCATCTGCCTGTGATGTGCATATATCTCTTTCTTCATCACTACTTACTTCAAGACCCATAGCTAATTGTCAATACATTATTACATCCTCACAAGCTCGCTCATCTTTATCAATCTGCATGATGTTGTCATTTATTATATCTGTATTTGTTTCTTCTGCTATTTTGTCATTTATAATTTCCGTTATTGTTTCTTTGTTATAAATATTTCCTATTTCTTTTAATTTGGCTTGTCGTCTATAAATCAATGTTTAAATGCATTAACGTATTTCACTGGCTAAATCGATTAACTTTTAATTAGATTCATTTGATAGAAAAATATGAAATATGAAAATATAAAATAGGAAAATAGGAAATTGGTCTTCAATAATTGTCGAGGATTCTCGAGATAGTAGATATGGAACTGAGCGTACCACGTGCATCGCGGCGGCGCATGAAGAAGCGGGCAGTATCAAAGAATATGGCGGACAATCAGTCACGAGCGTGTACAGCTCCTACGCAATAAAGTCAATCAACCAAAGTACAAAAGGGTGTTAATCCACTTATTAACCATTCAATAACATAAATATGGCGCCCGAACAGGGACTAGAGAGAAGTCCGAAAAGCACGGGAGTGAGTAGTAAGTGGCGTGAAACAAGGCAGCGTCACACGTACACGGGCATACACCAAGGCAGCGTCACACGTACGCGGGCATATATCAAGGCGGCATCGCACGAGAAATCGTGTCAGCAATCAGGTGGTAAAAGAAGTAGCAGAATTTGCTGCGGGATTGTTCTGAGCAGGTCAGTGAGTCCCGTCCTTTCCTTCCATTCCTCCATCCAACATTCTTGTAACGTGTTCAGAATAAACTAAGCAAAATGGCGGAGCTAAAGCAATTGAATCTAAAACGTGGAAGTCTGAAGACGCAATTGACCAAATTTCAATTATTATTTATGGAATCGGAGGCTGCTCGAGATACCGTGAAAATAGAGGTTAGACTAAAGAAAATACAAGAAATCTGGAATAAGTTTCAGGAAATACAGGAAGGAATCGAACTTCTTAATTTAAATGAAAATGGTGATACAATAAATGTAGAGATAGCAAATAAAAACACGACTGAGCGAGCAGCTTTCGAGGAACAGTATTTAAATTTAGAAGCAAGTGCGCAAACGAAGTTAAGAGCAATACAATCGGAAGGGGTAGATGAAGGCAATGCGCAAGCGAACTTACAAGCGGTAGGAAATCACGTAGGGCAAGCGCGAATAAATGTTAAGTTGCCAGTTCTGAATTTACCGACTTTCGAAGGCCAATACGATCAGTGGCTTCTATTTAAAGATTCATTTAAATCATTAATTCATAACAATAGAAACCTAGTCGCGATTCAGAAATTTCAATATTTGCGAAGCTCATTAAAAGGGGAAACTCTTCAGGTTTTAAATGCATTGAATGCGTCAGCAGAAAATTAGGAAATAGATTGGGAAGAATGCTGGAGAAACGTTATGAAAACAAACGCTTGATAATTAATACTCATACAAAAAAATTATTAGAGTTTCCGGCTGTATTAAAAGAAAATACAACCAGTTTGAGAGCATTTATCGATCATATTCGTACTCATACCAGAGCTTTAAAATCGTTAGGTCAACCAGTGGATGACTGGGACACATTACTTATACACATGGCTTCCGCGAAGTTAGACTACGACACCAGACGCGACTGGGAAATAAAATTGAGGGAAAGAGATCCCAAACACATGCCGACCATGGAAGAACTGTTGGAATATTTAAGTGAGCGTTGCAGTACTTTGGAAATGTTGGATAAAGGAAAGCAGAAACAAGAATCAACCAAGGTAGCGACGCAAAGAAATGAGAAAAGGGTAACACTTATCACCACCAAAGCAGGAAGCTGCGCGCTCTGCAAAGGGGAGCATTCCTTATACAGATGTGAGGAATTTTTGAAGATGTCAGAAGCTAAACGGCAAGAAGTCAAGAAAAATGGACTGTGCTGGAATGGTCTTGGAAAGGGTCATTTTGCCAAGGCATGCAGATTATCACGATATAGGAAGTGTTCAAAAGCGCACAACACGTTGTTGCATGTAAATTCAGAGAAGCTTTCGGTCAACGCAGAAGAGTTGGAACAATCAAAAACCATGGGACATCAAGCAGGCGAGGAGAAGGCTCGGAGTGGAGCAACGAAAAACCAACAGAAGGATTCGATAGAGGGCAAGAAAGCAGCGGTAGCGACCCACTGCGCAAAGAGACAGGCGAGTCAGGTGATGCTCTCAACCGCTCAGATCTATGTTTATGATATCGACGGACAGCAACGAAAATGTAGAGTCCTTCTAGATCCCGGATCACAATCGAATCTGATTACAGCTGATTTAGTACAACAGTTAAAGCTACCAACGACCAGGGAAAAATGTGCCTATAAGCGGCATAAATCAAGCGAAAACTAGAGTGCATTTGTCTACGCAGATTAGATTGAAGTCAATGTACAATGACTTCAGTGTAATAATGCCTTGCTTGACATTACCAAGTATCATCGAAAAGCTTCCACAAGTGAGAGTCCAAACGAAACTGAATATATCTAATAACGTACAATTAGCAGATCCAACATACGGGATTCCAGGTGAAATAGAACTATTGATCGGGGCGGGTCTGTTTTGGTCGCTTCTGTGCATAGATCAATTCAAGAGAGAAAAGGGTCAAAACCGACATTATGCAAAACTCACCTCGGCTGGATTATAGGTGGCGAGATAGTGAGTCCGGCAGAGTCATCGGAAAGAAGAACTTGTCACCTGATAACCAACACCCAATTACACGACCAATTGGAGAGATTCTGGAGACAAGAAGACGTAATGGAAACACGAATTTACTCGAAACAAGAGCAGATATGCGTGAATTTCTACCAAGACACGGTCAGGCGTGAGGCGGACGGAAGATTTATCGTTAAGCTTCCAACGAAACCTGAAATAGTACTCGGGCAGTCAAAGGAACTGGCATTGAAAAGATTACATTCGCTAGAACGACGTCTAAAGCGACGGCCAGAATTGCGACAACTATATAACGAATTCATGGAGGAATACATAGCTTCGGGCTACGCGTCAATATGTTCGGAAGGAGAGGACTATGAATCCCATGAACACTTTCATACCGCATCAGCCAGTATGGCGACCAGACAGCTTAACAACGAAACTCCGTGTAGTGTTTGACGCGTCAGCAAAAACGTCAACGGGAACGTCGTTAAATGATAAGCTGATGGCAGGACCAAACTTGCAGAAGGATTTGCTAGGAATCATCATAAGATTTCGCATACATAAATATGTAATGACAGCGGACATCGCAAAGATGTTCCGACAGATATGGGTAGCGGAAGAAGATCGTAAGTTTCAATTGGTACTTTGGAGAGAACATCCTGAATCTTCGCTGCAGGTACTCAGAATGAACACAGTTACATATGGAACCACTAGAGCTCCGTACCTGGCCATGCGTTGCTTAAAGGAGATAACTAGTGAAGCAGCCAAAAAATTAGCTATCAAACAACAAGAAAAAACATCAATTACACAAATTAAAAATTTAACTGCTAAGGGAGGAAAGGAAGATCTCCTTCCAGCGACAGAGGTCCTGGAACGAGACTTCTATATGGACGACGTATTGACAGGAACAAATAGTCTCACGAAAGCAATTTAATTGCAGAAACAGCTAACGAAACTTCTGGCGCGTGGATAGTTTGCATTGCGAAAATGGAGATCAAACGATGCCAGAGTGCTTAAGCATTTAAATGACGAATGTAAGGCTGATAATTGTCTTATCATCAATGAAGAAGAGACTCAAAAACGCTAGGGGTACTGTGGAATGCTAAGGAAGATACACTACACTACCAGTTCACAGCATCAAACAAAGAAGAAATAACCAAACGTGGCGTGCTATCTAAAATAGCACGAGTGTATGACCCTTTAGGGCTAATAGGACCAGTTCTCATAAACTACAAGATATTTATGCAGAGATTATGGGAACTAAAATTGGATTGGGACGACCCCTTGCCATCATCGTTAGAAATTAGTTGGAAGAAGCAGTTTGATTCACTTCATGAAATCAACGAAGTCGCTGTTCAACGAAATATAAATCCAGATAACGAAGCAGGATCAATTGATATCTACGGATTCGGAGATGCATCAGAGAAAGCATACGGTGCGTGCTTGTATGCCATTAGTTGTAATAAGCAAGGAAAAAAAACTGCTTGTTTGATTTGTGCAAAAGCAAGAGTAGCCCCACGGAAGGTCTTATCAATGCCAAGATTGGAGCTGTGTGCTGCCCTATTACTGGTAGAGTTGTTGAAGATAGTCGAGGAAGCTTGTAAAAACAGCATCGCTCGAGTCTATCTTTGGAGTGACTCAACAGTAGTGTTAGAGTGGATCAAAACGCCACCTAATCAATTAAAGGCGTTTGTAGCCAACAGAGTGGCAAGAATCCAAGAATTGTCATCCGAAGATGGTTGGAAGCATGTTCCATCGGCGGATAATCCAGCGGATCTCCTTTCGAGGGGTATCACAGTAGAACAGCTAAAGAAGAGCAAACTATGGTGGGAAGGTCCCGAATGGATCACATCAGAACAGCATTGGCCTCAGCAACCAAATATAGCTAAGGAGGAGGCATCAGAAAAAATTACAGTAGCAATGTCGGCATCGATCGACCCCCCGGAAGTCTTATTCAAACAGTCTTCTTATCTGGAGACACTGGTAGTGTCTCGGCGCTAAGTCAAGCGCAGCGACACTGCCGCGGATACTATACGTGAATCTGTCAAGATTTCCAGACGACGATTATGGGATCTCAATAACGGCTGTCCCGATTGAGTTCTAAGTGTGCTCAATCGATGGCATCCG